AATGGTGTGGATCGGGTTGAAGGAATTATCAGAGCCTGAACTTGTTTCGGTCATGGTTAACTAGGCCGAGAGGTTTCTGCTCATATTCTAACCCTGTCTGGTCAAATAAAACAGTGCGGGATTGATGTAGTTCACCCATGAAATAGGCCTCTGTTCGACGTGGAAAGGAGAAAATTGCTCATTGTCCGGGCGGACAAAGGCAGCTAGGTGCCGCGCCGGTCGCTTGGCTGGGTGCAGGTCGGTCCGTGGCTCTCCGTTTGAATCAGTTTGACACCAAGATGGAACACTTCCCTCCCAGTTCGTTTTTCCCCTTCATTTTGCTTGTTCTCGGTTGAACTTGTTTCATTTCCTTTTTTTCTCTCTCGTCTCTGAAAATGACCGTACCTGACCTCCGTTAAGGCCGCGTTCACAGTCAACAACACCGGGGCCAGCCAAGCCGAAGGTCCATGAACGACTGGTTGCAAACTCTCAGCACGAGCTAATCATTCAACTTTCGAGTTTTACAATCATTGACATTTCAATTGCTGAACTAGTTCTTGTATAAATGAAAAAAAAATCAAACTTTAATTAGTGCTGTTATGGCCGTGTGGCAGCGCGGTGTGGCATGGCCGCCACACCCCATTGGGGATCGACACCACGAACAGATAGACAGTTGAAGACAGGTTTGCAGAACAAAACCAACTATCTTTAAAAAGTTTAATTAAAACAACTCAAACAATTTAACAACTTGTTCGAATACAGCTTCGTGGGCCCGAGCAACCCGATGGCACGTTGAGGGACACAGACATCGCGTGCCCGGAGCCCAGCCCATTTATAACACACAGAGTAATAAGAGTTACATAACAAAGTATTTTAAGAACTGAGCGAACCCATTATGCGAAGCTCGTAGCAAATTAACAAAGGACAAAAATGCGGGCCGGTTCAGATAGCTTCATAACAGTGCTGAATTGCATGGGTTGCAGAAAAAAGGTACAACCATCAATATATTTTCTCCATCTTTCCATATCACTATACAGGAAGAGTTAGGCCTAATATTTTGTATAAAACCTAGCCACATTTGATACGTTTAAAACAGAAAGTCCCATACCAGCTGGCATTTAATCATGTAACAACAAAATGCCTTTCTCAACAAACAGGGTTATTTTCTGGAATGTATTTTGCTTTAACGGAACATCCCGAATTTTGTCCAAAATTTCCCATTTAACAGGTTCTTTTCTGAAGTTTCCCACAACACACTCGACTTCAGTGGACTTATTCTAACATACATATTTTGGCTACTCATCAATCCCGTATTCAATTAAAACATTCACTTATTAACCGACTCTATCTAAACTAGTCACCCCTTAAAACAAATCACCTTTTTAGCAGCCTTTTTATTTCCACAAGACTGTCCACAACTTGGTTTCCTCTATACAGAAAAGGGTGTCCGAATTGTTTTCTCCTACCCACAGATTGTGTGCCACGCCTTGAAGACGTTGAGAAATGGAACCCGTCGGATGGGAATTACAATACCAAATTGTGACCGTCAGATATTTAGTTTACTTCTTATAATCATGATAATAATGTGGTGCTTACGTAGCCCTTTATACCTAAGGTTTCAAAACGATTTACAATTATTTATCCCTGTTTATCAGGAATGATACCATTGTACTGCAGCAGCTCGAAATCAGCGCATTCTGGTCTCTACCTTCACAAGTACCCATTTATACTCCTGAGTGGAGAGAGGTAATTGTAGTAAAGTGCCTTGCCCAAGAACACAAGCACCATGTTCCCCGTCCGGGTTCGAACCCACGGACTACTCATAGTTAATTTCTAACAATACTTGACTAGTGTCAAAGTCAGTGGGGTCACAAACAATTCCACTTGTGATTGCTTAAGTCGAAATGCTAAAAACATGTCATTTAAACTTCGACTGCAAATACTGCAAACGAAATTTGAAATGGGAAGGTCATCACAATAAAGTCCGAACAATAATTAGTTTGCATCCAATCACACTTTAAATAAGTACAATTCTTATTTTTGTTTTCGTTTTTCCCTATATTTTCTTTGCGTCGACGCACGTGGAACTGAACACAAGTCAGGAGAATCTGCAGAAATACGAATATGTCGGAAACAGACCGTTTGAAACAATAATGAGATTGTGTTTTTTTTTTACTAAGTATTTAATACACTTTGAGTAAATACAAAATTACGTAAATGTATACAGGCCTACTCCAGAGGCAAATGTTACATTAATGTGGTTTTATTTCTAAGGATAACTCACGTTCATAACACCTTCTTCTAATAAATCCTTCACGGATGTGTAATGTTTTGTTATTGTCGGCATCTGTATGAGCGGTAATTTTTAGTGTACTTCCACCACTGAAGTCACAACATTAAATTGTCATCTTCCCGATCACTGAATGTTTTCATCTCCAAGGGATTTGATATATTTAGCATTGTCAAACAGTAATAACAAACTCCCTGATGATGAGTCGGTCCGCTGAAGATCAATACTGTATAACTACATTTCCGTATCCTGCATATTGAACCACCTGAGCCAAGATCTGTTTTGTCTGTTTTGATGCTCCGCGACCAAATATCCGTATTACATGTCTGACACGCTCAACCACCAATCTCAGGAAAATAATGCACCGTGGGGAGTTGATCATGCAGGCGAGAATTCAACCAAAATATTTTTTCTCTCGACACAATAGTATTTAGGGATAATCCCGCCATGATATGGGGGGCTTAGGGGCATTAGCCGTTCAAATAAACTCAAAGAAGCCGGCACCACAGAGGGATAAAATGAATAGATTTTTTTTTTGGCTGAAACGTAGAAAATACCAAAAGCGTATAAGCAGGTAATGCTTACGCTCGATTCAGCCCAGTGAAACGGCCGATTGACTGCAGTCGTATGGCAGCGATTGTAAAACTCTAAACTGGTGTGAAATGGACGCGGCTTTTGGAGTGTTAATTGAGCCGTGCGTTTTCTGGGTCTGCACTTGTTCGAAATCAGTTTCCGTCAAAAAAGGCAGTATAGGTGAATACACTTTTTTTCTTACTTCAGAGGGTAAAGTCAAAATGATTTGTCGAGTCTGTGCCTATCAGGCTGCTTCTAATTGGAAAGAAAAAAATCATCATGCGAGGGCTAACTTAGCAAGAAAAAAACAAAGAGACCGCACGCTTTGATGAAACTAAGGGAATTGTCTCCTGCTCCTTTTCTGGGTCAAAGTTCATGGGTGTACATAGGTTGCTTCCCAGGTCTAGAATAACGTAGTGTAATGATTAAACTAAACTATTGCATTAACCAAATCCTTATTTGTATTTGACATTATTGTCTCAATGTTAAAATTTTGCAAATCAAAAAGACACGTTCGACAAAGATAACTTTTCAATGGACTGCAAAAAAAACCCACACAAATAACATCGTAATTTCTTCGTCTTACTGAATATGCTGTAGGAACGGTCATTATTTATTATTAGACGGTAATACATGTGTCCCTTGAAATATAGAATAAAACACGCTTTCGTTTTCCCCAGTGGAGATAAAAGAGCCGCATAATAATTATTTCTGTCATAATAAATATATTGAAAATATAACAACGACGACAAAAACAGCAACAACCGCAACAGCAGCAGCAACAACAACAGCAACAATAACAATAGCAACAACAACAACAACGATTACAACAACAACAACAACAACAACAACAGCTGCCACCCTTTCGTGTTTTCCGTTTTTCTTTCAAATCTTAAAACAAAAGTAAATTTACAATGGGAAGACATTATACGTGAACTACATGTACGTGCAATGTCATCATTTGGAAAGATGAATTCGAATCACACATTACTGCAGCCGTGGGTGCAGTACAAACCAAGTTCTACATGATAATTGATTCAATCAAAATTAAAAAAAACCTTTGAACATATATTGGTGTTGATTTTCCCGCCTTAGTTTATGCACGCACTCCGAGGTTTCACATTAAAATACAAAAGCACATCACACTCATGGCAAATGGATTTCAAATCTAATTCAATTGCACTTAGTTAAACCTTTATTTCGCCATGTCTACTTAACGAGCCGATTTTCGTACATCTCCTGGGTGTTTTGGACCGTGGGCCCATCGACCGAGAATCGCGTCCGCTCCGCCGCGCATCGAGCCGGTGACCACGGTCGATCCGTCACAGAATTGCCGCCGACTCCGCAGACTCGAACCGCGGCGAAAGCGGCTAACGAAATTAAACGCAATCAAAGCACTAATGATGATATATTAATTGAATTCCAATCACAGATGGCACTGTATATCTTTCACTGATGGGATTTTACCACTCCTTCCTTGCAGATCTTGTCCGACTTGATGAAAATATATATGCTTCGTCATTGTGCGTAAAGGAAAAGCGAGAGAAAAAGAAGGAAAATCACATCCCGTACTCATAATTTGCAAGCGTAACAACGTCTCTTTCATTTTGACAGAATCGACGAGATAATCCCGTGTCCCAGTCTAGGCTGGAGACCACGTTCTCATAACATTAATGTTTGCATAAATCGCAGGTAGAAATCATCTCAAACTGGGGAAAAGCAACCCACATTGACGCCTGGATTTCCAACTTGTCCGAGCGGAGCACGTGCCTATGTTTGCCGAGGAATAATGCCTTACTGGCCGGTCGCGGAGGCCGGACGATACGCCACAAGGTCCAATTGTGTGTTCAAGCCCAGATCAGATCGAATTACGGGCTGTCTTTCAGTAATAATTACCGAGGGATAATTCCGGGTTTGTTTAGGAAGATTATCTTCTAATCGGGAAGTCAAATCAATGATTTCATCGGCCACTTTTTTTTGTAGCGTTGCGTTCGGCAAGCGTTGTTTTTTCCGTGAACGAACAAGCTTCTTGAGCAGTGACGAAAAAGGGAGAACATAAATCGTGTGAAAACAGTCGTCAAGGGTTATAATTTACATTGATTTCTCATAGAAAGCTTTACAAGAAATATGGAAAGTGAAAATATGCAAAGCAACTTACCCAGAAAGAATTCCAAAAAAATAACGTCCACAAATCACAACGAGACAGAATTGTCGATTTCAAACGTCAACATAACTTGTTTAATATAGTCCAGTTCCGAGTGCACACACAAAATACGTCTTTTTGTGTATTTTTGGCAACTTTATAGTTTGCAGTGACTCAACGAAGAAGAGAACATCGATGAAAGTCAACAGTCCACAACTTCTTCAGTTCAGTATTGAAGGGTTAGCGAACATTGTTCTTCCCAGCTCGGCCAGTGAGTCGAATCCTCAACAACAACAAAAACCCACACATAGTCTACCGTGGTATTGTTCGTACTAAGCGAGGCCCATTTCTTTTCTTTCTTTTGCCCACTGCTTTTTCCCAATGCCAATGCGCTAGCAATGAAAGACAGCCACAAGGCGAAAGCGGCTAGACCTATAAGTCAGTGCCTCCCAGGCCCGACTGTGCTCTATTGAGCAAAGGCGTGCGCACATATTTTGTGAGAGGGACCCTATTTATGTACAGAAAATTAAACAACTGAAGAAGGTCCTTGGAGCGGAAGTAATCGCTTTTCGGAGACTTTCATGCGGGGGCAAAAGCCCGAATCACGGCGGCTCTTCTGAAGCTGAGCGCGGGGGCCGCGGGGCCCAAGCCTCCCCGTTCAGTTCCAACCCCTACAGCCGAGGAGATGGAAGGAGTCAAGAAAAGGAGACAAATAGAGGCAAGGTGGGAAGCATTCAGCATAGCGCAGGCGGCTCCGCAAGCGTTGTGGGGGTTGGCTTCACGGTAACCGAGCAGTTTTTTCCCCTTTGATTTCCCCCCTTTTCTCTCCCTGCGAGCTGTCTCACACTTTCGAATAATCAACGGCAGCGGGAGAGTTAATAATTGTTATTTTTCTTCCCAGATTGAGCAATAACCAAGAACGCCGTTCCCGTAATTTCTTTTTCCCGAGTGATGCCTCGCTTGGCTGGTTCTCCCGTTCGTTCTCCCGTGCGGGATAGCGGATCGACATGACCTATTTACCCAAGTCTATGCCAAGTCCTTCCCCCATCAAGCCCTCCGGTGGTGGCTGCAAGAACCCAAGGCCTCACATCCCTTTGAAAAAAAGAAAAAAATTACCACGCTGGTAATCCTTACTATTAGTCCTTCTTTACTCCATAGCCAATTCCACAATACATACTTGATTGATTTTTATGCCAAACAAGGTAAACCTTTTTAATAAACCATAAACTTTTTTCCCCGGCTGAGGATCATTTAGGACTCAGCCAGCACAACCAATGCACGCCGGGCCGGCGCGGCCGGCACCCCTTTGAATCCAGGCGCTTGAAAAGCGCCGGCGCGGCACAACTTCAAAACACTTACTCCAGACCCGGCTCAACCCACCGGATTGTTCGGTGCCGGGACGCCCTTTGAAAGTGATATATTATGAAAAATCCGATTTTTATTGTCACCACTGGATTAGCTTGATTTGCTGTGTAGCCGCGATTTTTTTCTTTCTCTCTTTTTTCTTTCTATATCGCTCGCGGACAAAATTCAGCAATGAGTTTTGAACGCGTGGATTAAGGCATGAAGCGCAGGAAAGGGGCGCTATAGTGAGCCATATCAGGCCTGATGCTTTGTGCGGTTAAGGTTTGGTACAAATTTAGGGAAAATGAAAAGCAAGCCATGAGGTGTTGGGTTTTTTTTTCAATGAAAGTAAATAAAATTATTTAAACGATTGTAAATACCGTCACCTGCCATTTCAGGGTAAAAAAATATACGGCAATTACAAATCAGCTCAAAAGACATTTCGACTTTTCGACACCAATTTGGGAATTATTTTTTTTTAAAGGCGGAATGCTTTCCCAAAATATGAAATGAAATGTTTAATATTGTGATAACAGAGTTATGAAACTTTAATTAAAACACTCTAAACTGACGTGAAGGAAAATTACAGATTTTACTTTATATCATTGAGTTTATATTTATCCTCTTTTACAAAATAATGTCACTAAACAAAATGTTTTCAGTGACATCATTTCTGTGTTGTTTCACAAATTTTTAGAAATCGCGTGCCGCGCATATCTGTTTTCGTCGATTTTTTTTGTAAGCACACATCAAATCCGAGTTCACAAAACTACGAAGGTGAAGCTCCCGTTTAAAATCAGGTAGGATTTGCAAGCCATGAGATAGGCATCTGAATGAGAATGAACCATTTATAACATTTTGGGCCAAAACACGGACTAGCTCTCAGTAAGACCGCGGGAAATTAAAGGGCGCATGCAATGTAATGCAATCCTTGAATATACACCTTCGCGACGGTGTCCTATTTAACCTAATTATTTTCAATTTTTCTTTTGCCATTTTTAACGGTATTTTGGTGCTTTTTGGGTTTGTATGGTAATGCGAATTTCAATAGTCATGAGTAAAAGTGTGATTTTTTTCAGGCAGAAAGCTCAATGTTACAGCTATTTCAGCACAAAAAAGTTGCCAGAATTTTGGATAGCCTACATGTATTTCGCTGTGGTAAATTTTCTTTTCTTCTGGATTCTGGTGAATCGTTGTTGTGTCGGTAAATGGTAGTAAGCCAATAAGCAAACATTTCTCACTAATATTTCCAAAAATCCATTTTTTGTTTTGCCATTTTCAAGGGTATTTTGGTGCCTTTTTGGATTTATGCTAATGCGAATTTCAATATTCATGAGCAAAAGTGTGATGACATTTCAGGCAGAAACCTCAATGTTACAGCTATTTCAGCACCAACAGTTGCCAGAATTTTGGATATTTTGCTGCCGTATATTTTCTTTTTTTTGGGTGATTTGTTGTTGTGTCAGTACATGGCAGTATTAAATCCAATGAGCAATTTTTCTCACAAGCATTTTCAAAAAGCAAATTTTGGGGCTCACAATTTTAACAGAAAACCCCTAAACTGAACAGTATCTTCCTGAAATTACAGCAAAAGCTCCCTTAGTTGTCCGGAAAAGCATGGACAATTTTAAATGACTAAAAGAAGTGCACTTCTCAATAAAATTAACCAAAAAGGGATGTGAAATATGTTTCATACATTTAAAAGGAGTAGAACGTTGCACAAAATATGTTCCTCAGAAAATGTCATCTCATGAGCCCTTTAATGATGGTAATTTTGTTTTGCTTAATCAGCGGACGGCTATTTTCGAAACATGACAAAGTAAGTTTATTATAAAACGTATAAAATTCAAGAGTATTATGATGTATGTATAGAGAATAGTTCACGGCAGGTTACTTAACCAAGTTAGTTCCAACAGTTTCGGCAACTTTGCCCTTTCCTCCCCTGCTGCCACTTGTGCGATATATAGTTCTACGTCATGTCTACTTCCGTATAAGAGAGTATATTAATACAAACTGACTTACCATACAGGCAGGTCGCGTTTGATGTCGCGGGGCCTAGATTTCTTTTTCCATGCTCTGTTTCCGTTTTTTTTCTTCAAAGAGTCATTCCGCAGATCCAAATCTGCTGATTCGAGGCGATCGGGACATGGAAATTACTGGGTATCACTGAGACCATCTTGCGCTCTCGCAACCGAGGTGTTAAGCAAATGTGCAACATAATTCAATAATCGACAGCGATTAATTTCATTATTCTCCTGACACAAACGATTCCGTGTCTAGGGCTAAATATTTGGTGATCTAGATCTCTGGAGCGCATCTTTTGGAAGATTTTTTTCCCCCTCGTATTCTTTCTGCTTCTCTTTTTTGTTCCCCGGTCGTACAGTCAGCTCGCACGGCCAGCCGTATGAAATTAGTGTTACGCGAGCGCGTGTTTATGAGGCTTCAAACCCCTTGGAGAAGTCGCCTCGTATTAGCACCACGCGTGGTGGCCGGTCGTGTTCTTGTTTCCATTCGTTTATTAGAGTTAAGACTGTGAGAAGAGCGGCGACATCAGAGGGCTTGAAATTAAGGAAATTGCGCTGCGACCAAAGAGAAAAACGGTCAAGCCGAAAACATAATATAAAACACCGCACCAGGCCGTCGTGTGAAGCTAGCTGACGGGGGCCCAGGCCCTCGATGCCGGGGCGGCCTAGCCAAAGGCGTCCGCCTTCTCACGCTGTTTGTTGTCTCTCTGCTTATTCGCTATAAACCAAACTTTTATTAGAGGGGCCGACATATTAGGGCTGGGACCGCATGATTACCTAATTGAGGGTTGCCTGACCCTGCTCGACTCCAATATTCTTATTCATTTAGTTCTTTATTGCCTTTTATCACTTTCGAGGCGATAGATTTTGTGAACGCTTGGAAATTAGGAAAGTTGTTATAGCTCCAAGAAGCACCCGTACAGCACGTGTGTTTTTTTATTTCTTATTTTTAAAAACTGGTTAATGCTGATTAGTCTGTGTGGAATGAAAGTTACACGAATTCGATATTGTACTCGAGACACATCACAGTTAAAATTCTGACAGGTTTTTTTTTACTGATATTTAAGAACTGACTGGGTACACGCTCTTAGAATTTCTGAGTCAGATTCGAGCCGAATTTGGACCCAACAACTCTTATGGGCCAAAATGACATTTGTTCTTGTAATAACGATACTTTTCTTTGTCAAATTGACATATTTGTTTTGTCTATAAAAGTGTCACTTTTTGGGGTCAAGCGGCGCGGAAAGTGACTAAGAAGAAAAGTGTGAGTGCAAGGTAAACCCTGACCCGGATTCGGCTCGAATTTTACCCGAGACCTTTAACAAGTTGCAGACCAGTAAACAGACTGTCATAGACCTCAGTGATAATTACGCGTACTTCTAAATATTATCAAAAAATACTCACAACTCTCCAAGGTTTTGAGATACCCATCAAATTAAAGCTTATTTCATTATTTTTTATTTTATGCTCAATTTTGAGTGGTAATTCGATGCATGTTGGGGAAAAATCCATCCAATTCCACCTAGTCCTGTAGCCCATCGCCATTTTGAAAATATTCATGTGCTCCATTTGCAATATAGAGCAATATTTGGGCCAAATTCATCCAAAATTCACACAGAAATACGAGCTCCAAGTCCTGTGCACGGCTTCCACCCTTCTCTCTCTTTTTTTTTACAAACCCTCAAGCTCATGGCCCACGAAATGCTCTAATAACAAAACAATTGAGGGCATACAAATCGTGCAATTTTAGGCCTATCTGGCCCACTATATGAGGGGCCGTATCATAAGTCCGACGCCTCATAGGTCCGACGCCTCATAAGTCCGACATTTCGGACTAATGAGGCGTCGGGCTTATGAGGCATAACATTTATTTATTCCGCCTCATAGGTCCGAC